GAAACTAAAAAAAAAAAAGATGCAAGATTACATATAAAGTAAACAGGGCCCAATAGGAAAAGCTGTAGTAACAAAGTAGACTTTAATTACTAGAGATAAAGAAGGACCTTCATGATGTAAGTGCCAATGTGGAACTGTTAACACTGGAAGCATATCTGTACCTGCGAAGAGAACTCCAAAACACATGAGGGCGAACTGTCAGAACGCTGGAGGGGCATGGATTGTTCATCAACGTTAGAGACTGAATAAGACAGATATGAAAAAGAAAATCGTAACATCATTTTCAACCAAGTAGATTCAATATGCTTCTACATAGCATAGCTTCCCCAAACAGCAAAATGTAAGTACACATTTCTCTCTACATGAACCATTCTTCAAAGCAGACCTGTGGGGCAGGCATGGCGGTGCCGTGAGCCAAAATGCACATCCACAACCCACATCCTAGTGATTGCTTCAAATCCACACTGCTCCACTTCTGATTCTGGTTCCTGCTACTGCACCCTATCAATCGTGTGGGAGAACCAGCAGCTCCCGGCTTGTAGCTTTGGACTAGCCCACAACTGGCCATTATGAGCAGCTGGGGAATAAATAAGCTTAGATAAACAAGACCTGCCTCTCTCTTTCTCTCTCTCGCTCTCACTCTCACTTTCTAGCTCCCTTTTTCCCCATCACCACTCTGTCACTCTATCTTTCTAGAAAATGAAATGAACAAGTAAATATATTTTAAAAAATCAACTTTAAATGAACCATATTAAGTCTCAAAGCAAGCCTCAATATTAATTTAAAAGAATCAAAACCATACGAGTACGCTCTGTGACCATAATGGAATCAGAAATCAATTAGAAATGTCAGAAACCCATACATATATGGAAACAAAACAAATAGTACAAAACGACCAATGCGCTAAAAAGAAATCCATGAGTCATTAGAAAATACTTAAAGAAAATGAAAAGTAAAAACAAACCAAGCATATAGAATTCAGGAAGAGCACTGCGAAGAGGGAAATTTGGACCTATAATCTCTAATGAACTTCAAAAAGATCATGGGGAAAAAAAAAATCACCTAACTTTTTTTTTATTTTTAAAATTTACTTCTTTTACTTGAAAGTCGAAGTTAGAGAGAGAGACAGAGAGAGGGATGGACTGAAAGAGGACTCTCCCATCTGTGGTTCACTCCCCCAAATAGCTGCAGTGGCCAGAGCAGAGTTGATCCAAACCCAGAAATCAGAAGTTCCATTGGCGTCTCCAAAACAGGTACAGGGTCCAAGGTTTTGGACCATCCTCCACTGCTTTCCTAGGACACAAGCAGGGAGTTGGATCAGAACTGGAGCAGCCACAGGACTCAAACAAGGATCCATGTGGGACATTAGGGCCACAGGCTGAGGGTCAGCTTGCTATGCCACCACCCCTTTTAATTACATTTTTCTTGAACTTTTTGAAGCCCTCTCAATTAAAAAGAAAAAGAAAGAAACAATTCAAATTGGCAACCTGACTTTCCACCTTAGGAATCTAGATAAATGAGAGTAAACCAAACCAAGGCAAACAGCATGAAAGAAAGAATGAGTAGGAATAAATGAAACAGAGAACAGAAAACAATAAAGAAAATTGCCCAAGAAAAAAGCTGCTTCTCTGAAAATATGAACAAAATTTACAAACCTCTGACTAAACTGTAAAGCGAAGCAAAAACATTCAATTTATTAAAACCTGGAATGAAAGTATTACTATCACTAGGGACCGCACGCAAATGAAGAGGAATCACAGGTGAATCCCATGAGCAATTACACATTCAGAACTAAATTAATGGAACAAATTCCTAAAGAGAAACAAATTACTGAAACTGACTCCCCCACCAATATATAAAAGCATCTGAAGAGACTGAGTAAGTCATCAAAAAACCTTCCCACAAAGATAAACCCAAGCCCAGAAGTCTAGTCAGTGGTAAATTCTGTCCAAGAGATTAGAGGATAAAAGTTTTTGTAGCTATTTTTGCTTTTCTCCCAAGGTCAAGAACAAGAGAGGGATGGCTACTCTTTTCACATCTACTCAAGACTCAAGCCAAGAAATGCAGATAATGACTTCCAGTCTGGGAAGAAAGAACCCAAACTCTTAGCAGAAAATCCTGTATAAGAAAATCTTACGGAATTCATCAAAAAAGCAAAATAAATGAGTAAAGAAGCTTGGCAAAGTCATAGAAGACAGGATCGACACACAGACATCAATCATATTTCTATAACCTAGCCATGACAATTAAAGAACAATCATTTACAATGGACTGAAAAAGAAAAGGAATTCTGAAGTACAAGATTCTTCCAATGAAAACCAAGAATCACAGGGGGAAGAAACTAGAAAAAGTCTGAACAAATAGGATGATGCCCCCTTGTCCTTGCAACAGAAGACGTAAGATTACTATGTCAGCAACACTCTGCAAACTCACATGCAGATCCAACACTGCCCTGCTCAAAATCCCCTCTGACCATGTTCATGAAATTAAACAAGCTGAGCTGAAAATCAGAGGACCTAAGAAAGTTTGAAGGAGAGTGACTTTAAAAGCACAGATAACAGTCAGTTGTGTTTCTTATCAACCACTTGGCCAACCCTTGAAAAATAATCAGGGCAGAGTCTCCCGACCTCCAGAGCATTTAAGGCAGCCAGGTACGCCCAGAGGATAAGCACATATGGGTCCTGCTTCCTGCATTTGTACCAGCTGTCATGGCGCAGTGGTCCTGTGGGTGCCACAAAGCCCACAGTTTGGGAAACACCTGTCCTAGCTCATCTTCCCTAGAACTCTAGCTAGCACCACTGGCCCTTGGAATCAGGTAGCCTGCTCCTGTGCAGCAGAGAATCAGTAAGACATAACTGCAGTTTCGTCACAGCAGGTAAGTAAATGAGTAAAATGGAGAGCTGAGAGTTGACCATAAAACCATAAATAATTTCATACCCCCATTAAAAAACAAATTTCATTTATGTTTCTAAAATCATGTGGGCAAAGATGACATTCATTCAATTTAGGGCATGTCTATACGTACCAAGCCTCATGCAACATGCTGTTAACTAGATCTACTATGAAGGGCAGAGGTCTGCTCCACCAGTTAAGACTGCTTGGGATGTCCATATGCCACACCAGAGTGCCTGAGTTTGAGTCCTGGCTCTGCTTTGAGTTCTAGCTTCCTGCTAATGTACACCCTAGGAAGCAGGTGATGGTCCAACAACGTGGGTTCCTGACACCCATGTCAGAGGCCCAGTTTTAACTTCCAAGTTTCTGGAAGAGAATCAGCAGATGGAAGAGTCTCTCCCCATCGCCTCTTGTGCTCGTGTGTGTGTGAAAACAGTGGCCAGAAATCATCATAGTAACTGTAGCTATGGGATTAGAATTGTGGGCACAGAAAGCTCCATACAGAATGTATCTCAAATCCTTGCGAGCGGAATATAGATTTAATAGGGTTAAGAAAAATGCACAACAGCTGCATCCTCTCAGCCCCCACTCAGGCAAAAAGTAGGACAAACTCAGGGACCAGGCTTTGATTCTTAGAACTGAGAAATTTGCATCTTACAACAGCAGGCCTAAGGAACAGAAAAGACCTATGACCACAAAAAAACCAAAGGCAAGGCAAAAGACTACAGAGGAAGTTGAGGTCATTAGATAACAGTGCCTGGGCCTGATTTCTCAACCACCCCATCCTTGGTCAAGGCAATTCAAACACACATATGTACATATGTTCTTGGGATGTTGAGTGGTTGGGTAGGTAGGTATGGATGTAAGAAAAAGGCAGAAAGACAAGCAAGGCGGGAAGGCAGTAAGTCAATATTTGTGGATCCATGCAGGCAGCCTGGGAATAAGACCTGCCAGATGAGGAATACCCTCTGGTTTTTAGTCCCTATACCTTCTTCCATTGCAAACATACACACACACACACACACACACACACACACACACACGTGAGAAATACATCTTGCCTTTAACCATACATCCTCTTTTTCCATTCCAAACACACACACACACATGCACATGTGAGAAATACATCTTGCCTTTAACCATACATCTTCTTTTTCTATTCCAAACACACACACACACACACACACACACAAACACCTTCCCTGTAGGGAATTCCTCTCTTCTCTAGACTCCTACTAAACTGACCTGATCCTGCCTGGTCTGCTACAGATTATATAAATGCACAAAGACCTGGAAGAAAACCTAACAACTGCTATAAGTCCCTGATGTGATGTCAACAGTGACAGAAAGCAGACCAAACTCCCAGCACCCCCAGGGAGTCCTTCATCAGCAAGGAAGTGGCTGCCATCAACCGAGCAAGTCGGGCCCTCCTGATCACAACCAGGCCTGGCTTTTCCCTTTACACCACGGCGATGAAGAAGAATCCACACAGATGCAAGTCAGGTTCCATAAAATAATCAACTCTGGTTTAAAACGAACAAACCCTCCATTTCAGCATCTGGCTCCAACACATCAAATCAAGGGGAAGATTTTCCCAAAGGCTGAGAGTTAAGCCACTTACTGACAGCTGGAAGCTTAATTACTGCTTTTCATAAAGCATTAACTCCCACTAGCCAATGACTACACATCCTATTAGCCATGTAAATTAACATGTGTTGAAAAATCACAGAGAAATCAGCCTAAGTTTAAAGGAAATTGGGCAGTGGGATGGAAAAAAAAAACAAAACGCCACTGGGTTCCACCTCTCCTTACTGTGTTCTTTTCACTGGAATTCCAAACAAACACATCTTTGTCAAGGACGCTCGGCCACCATACAACCATCCAATTCCCAGAGCCTAGAGATACCATGAGTGCTTGTTCAAAGCACTGCAACCTGCCAGCACCTTCCAAGCCTTCTGGGAAGGGTCACCAACATCCAGAATCCTTCAGGAGTTGGCCCCATTCACCTCAATCCAATCCTTGCCAAGCGAACACTGATTTCAACACAGAATGCTAACTTCACAAAGGAGGCCTCATAGCAGCTTACTTGTCCAGTTTAGTCTACTTACCACCACCTTTGTTGCAAACATGTACTTGTCCCGAAGTTGAAAATCTCTCACTTCTTCCAGGATCACTTCCTGGTTTTCCAGAGACTGGAAGAAGTCTGTGCTTCGGAAAACTGTGGAGTAGCCAGAAGGTTCATGCCGTTCAACGTAGATGGTATTTGGCTTGTCATACGGATCAATTCCCCTAAGAGAAGAAATAAGTGGTGTCATCACTTCCATATTTAATCAGCAGAGGCATGGGAGATTCACCATACAGACAATCAACTAGAGTTTAGGGCCCTTATCGTGTGATCCGCAAGTGATGCTCTTGGTACCTCCAACAGCTCTTCCTGTCCCTTGGCTGAGTATGGAAGGAGAGGAATAGCCATTTGTAAGGTATTTTTGTGTTGTTGTTGCTGTTATCAAAGCACCTAGAGTTCAGCTCAAGGCAAGCTGTGGCTCTGCTTGCAAAGAAGGAAACTATAAAATTTACAAAATGGAGAGTTTCCAAATAAATAGGAAATGGAGAATTTGAGCCTGTCAGTTCTCTCAAGGCTTTCAGCAATGCCCCTTGGAGAAATGAGAAAACCAGCACTGGAGGAGACCACATTCTGGACCACTAAGCCTCAGCTGTCCTGCAGATCCCACCCTGTTCGTCCCTCACACTGAACACACAGCCTGCACAAAGATGCACTAGCCAGTGAAGCACTCTGTCTGATCTCCCATCTACAACCTACTCTACAGTCAAGCTCACATCCCCCTCTCCCAAAAAGCCCTCCTTTAATGTCTTCCTCTCTTCTACAGATCCTAACAACAAGTCCCTGCAGTACTCAATGTCAATAAATTTTAACTCTGAACAGAGGCACAAAACCACTTCAGTGCATTTCATGGCTTTGCACAGGAATGCTTCTTGTACACTGCATCATCTTGCCCATCCTTGTGGGCATTTCTCTGAGCTTCCCTACCACAGTACAGGGTGGGGAATGGGAACAGGTGGGAGGGTAGAAGGTAGGCATCACTATGCTCCTAAATCTGTATGATGAAATACATGAACTATGCTTGCCTTATATAAGTAATTTTTTTAAAAAAATCAACCCACATTGCTTTTTATCCTGCAGTGTTTCTAGTTACAGGGATACTTGTTGCACTTGATCCAAGAACTCTAACTGCAGAAGTTGCACCAAACTAGAAAACACTTGAATGGCTAGGTCAAACTCTTGGAGAAAGAGCTCACAGCTAGTGTTGCCCACAGTGGGCCCCACACACAGCAGCCATAAGAATGACTCATCCACCCCAGGTTTCCCAACAGGCACAAGAACTCACAGGACAGTCTCGCTGCCCAAGGCCAGGTGGATCATTCAACAAATGGGAACATTAATTGGAGGTCAAGAAGAGATGCTTCCAGTGAGGATGCAAAGGATGACTCAGGGGAAGACAAAAGGTGTCATGCAATTGCCCTTACACAGTCCCATTGGCAGGGCAGCTTTCTGAATAAACATCACCAGCTCCTTCAAAGATGAGAGTGTCCAGAACTTGTTCAGGCAAAAGATTTTAAAAAGAGAGAGAGAGAGAGAGAGAGAAGGAAGAAGATAAAGAAAAAGAGTCTCTTGACAATGAGGAAGACTTGATTTTTGTCCAACAGTCTGATAGCTTAGTGCGAAGCAGGTAAAACAATGACCATGGCCCCAGTGTGGGAGAAAACCGTTCTTCAGTGTCAGAAGCACAGTGTACCCATGTGGGAGGTTGGTGGCATGTTCTCTTGTTCTCCACAATTAGAAGTACTGATTAAAGTACTTCCTCCAGCTTAGAGGATATGCAAATTAAAATGAAGCTGTTTGGTATCTTTGCAAAGGCAATGAGGAAGAAACCTTTATTGAGATATTTTGAGACCAAGCTCACCTCTCTTCTTTCTTCCTCACCACAGGCAGCAGCAATGCCAACATCTAGAGAGAGCAACAACTGTGATTTTGATCCCAGTTCTCTTCTCTCATCCACATTTGGGTCTCCCATTTCTGCAAGCTGTTCAACCTACAGACACTCATACTTGGTAATCACTTAGCCTTCTGAGATCTTACTTACTCTTTGCCTTCCCTTAGGAGTTCCAACTCTTGCGCCGTCTCCAAGCCCAGGCATCAGCTCTTGCCAGCCCTCTCTGGTCCACATTCAACTCCAAGGGGAAGCGCCACAGGGTTTTCTGTGTCCCTTGCCCATAGATTTTACCTTCTGTGGCCTGTCTTATCAGTCTCCATCTCTGGACAACATAAATGACTGACTTTCCTCATTCCTGCTTCTGAGACTGCCAAGAATTGTTAGAAAAATGCATGCTATTTTTCTCTAAGTAACTAGATTCTATTCTCATTTATTACGGACAATCCCACAGGAAAATCCCTCAAATAGCCTGAAACCCTAGCACCAGAAACATAACCATCTAAAATAAGACATGTTAGTCACTCCCTAAGATTTCTGCAAAGAGGCAGAAGGTATAATATACAAATTCCTAAACTTGAAGTTTCTTTATTTAGTA